TTATTCTGAGAATTCAAAGAGTTCACTTATATAGCATGCTTGGTATGGGGTCAGGCACATGGTACCAGCTTCATAAGTGGTGGTTAATGTGAACTAGACTGTGAGCTGCTCAAGGTCAACGGATGGTCTTATTCCATTTTATACTGGTCCCAAGGCCTAGTGCTAGAAATGATTCCCAGAAGCCTCAATGTAAGTTTGTTAAATAAATGAAAATAAATACATGTCAGTGATATGCAAAATCAATACCAACTCTCACTTGTATTCACATCAGGGCTTTGCTGGAGTGACCCTTTCAGAATTAAAGCCTTTACCTAACTGATAGGACAGTCCTCATCTAGCTCAAAGAGGTAAGTAGATGAAACTATGACAAGGAAATTTCAATTTTATAAATTCCTATGAGACAAAGAAAGCATGTGCTGTACATTCTTTTATGTGATATAGTGAGAAGTAACATTTTTATTGAAACCCATAGTTAACATATTGCATATTTGCAAAACAAAATTTAAATGTCCTACTCAACCCTTGTTTGAAATGAATGAAATCTCACCTTTACGAAGAAGGGCATAAAGGAGAGTTTAATTCCACGAGCAGAAGCAATGGGTTTTAATTCTTCTCGTAGTTTAACCAGTTCAGTAAGGTCAATGTCATCGCAATACCCGAAGTGAGGTATCTTCAGGGCTGCAGACATGGTCTTGACCATCGCTTTCTGAAAGCCTGGAAAACAACTCTTTCGCTGCGTTAATTGATTTCAAGTATTTTTTTCAAAATGTGTCAGAAATCCAAAAAAACAAAAAAGTTGATATTTTGACTATTTTATGCATTTAATAATAACAATTTGAGCTGTTTTGTATATAAATCACATTATTTTTATGTATAAAAATTTCAGGTATATTCATTCAGATATATCCAACCATCGTGGCAAAAGGGTTAAATGTGCATTTGTTTAAAATTCTTAAATCCTTTTTTTTTTTACTAAAACAGAAGGCTCTCTACTGTTCTTTCTTTTTTTTTTAAGCTGAGCCATCCTGCTACCTGTTGGCAGCTCAGCGGCTGCTCAGTTCGGGCTGGACTCGAACCGCTGTTGCTCAGAGCGCAAACTCTTGAGTGAGCTCTTAACCAACTGAGCCACTCGGCCGGCCCTCTCTACTGTTCTTTACTCTCAATTACACTGTTCCTCTTGGAGCTATAACGTTCATTACATAACTTGAAAGCCATTAATTTCAATTCTGAAGCACTGACTGCAGCACAACACCTATTAATAGTATCAAGTGTAATAATGTAACAGGTAACTGCTGTCAAAGCTGTGGTGTATAAAAGACTTTAAAGGATGCAAGCTACGCATTTACCCAGTAGCTTTCCTGAAAAATCACTCTTCTGAAAGTTATCATCCTACGAGTTTATAAAGCACAAATCAGAAGTAGTTATTTTGAAAGCTAACTAAAAACAATATTTAAAATATCCTGAGTGAGTCTTCAAACCGAACAATTATTTGTATATAAGTTTATATTTCAAGAAACCTAACATATTACTCTTCAGAAATTAACAGTATAAATTGAAGCTTTTACTGGAAAAACTGTTATTCCATCATTAAAAATTATATGCTGAATTTGAACTTTCCCTTTAGTAGAAATTAACACATCATTTTACATACACGGACCTGTTGAGGCAGCTTTCCCCCAAATAAATGATACTATTACCTTACAGTACTGTCCATATTACCTTTTATGGGTTCTGTTCTGTCTTTGCCTGTGAATACCAGAGGTTTTGAAACTGGTATAGGAATAGTCCTGTCTTTTGGTTTGGGTGGAGGAGGCATAATTTCAGCTTTTGGCGAAGGAGGTAATATAGCTCCTGTCTGCTTTTCCAAATAGTTGAGAATGTCTTCTTTAAGTATTCTGCCATCTTTTCCTGAGCCAACAACTTCACTCAGCTTAATCTAAAAAATGACACATTTTAATGCTAAAAGTAAAACTACCTAAAAATAAATAAATCCGTCATTAAAAACTCTAAATAGAATTTAATGAATTGACAGTAACAAAGTATCTCTGCCCGGTAAGTTAGTATAAAGAAATAGTAACATTTTCATTATCTTAATAGAATGCTATAAACTATAGCTCCCTTCATAAGTAATCATGTTACTTTGTACATACTGTTCATTTGCCCATGTGGTAACAATGCAGTATATAATCCATAGCTATTTATGAAAACTTACATTTTTATTTATTTATTTTTGGGTACTTTTTTTTT